CCGGAGCTGGCGGGGCACGGGCCCGCTAGTCCCTGCTCCTTGCTCCGCAGCCAGCAGTACTGGGAGGCGCCAGCAGGTGGCAGGCAGGGCACCATGAGCACTCGAGGCCCTCTGCGAGGCTCTGCTCTGGAAAGCAGCCAAAATCCCATCCTTTGGACCCTTCCCAGTGACTTGACCTCCCCATAGTGCACCTGACTTAGTGTGCAGTGGGCTGCTGATCCTTCCCTCCCACCTCATTTGCTGACATTTCTTAAATGGACGAGCAGTTTAAGATTACCAGCAGCTGCCTTGAGAGGCACTTCTGGAGGCCACACCCCTGGTGGCAGCCTGAGGCCTCCTCCCTTTCAGGAACTAGCCGGAAGGATTTACATGCCACGGCCTGGGATGGCTTGGGTTTCCTTAATTGTAAGGGCTGACTTCCTGTCTCTTTCTGCCAAATCTCCCCCACCCTTCCCATGAACTGGGAGGTCCCCAGCACAGGCTCTTACCACCCTCTGCTCCACCCACTTGGCTAGGGTCTAGGGGGAAAAAGTGAGCTGCAGGTTTGAGAAACTTTGGGGCAGAAATGCTAGGGTCCTTGGGCTGCCTTCTTTTGGGCAGGAGCACCTAAGGACCAGCTGGGCCCAGGGCTCAGGCTGATGGCACTGCTTCCCTTCCCCCAACTCCTAGATAAGTGACCCACGCCCCCTCCAAATCCCACATTCTCAGTTCCTCACTGCCTCTTTTATCTTGGTCCTGCCCAGCACCACCCTCAGGCAGGGGCCTTGCCCTTCTGTGTAGGGGAGAGAAACGCTGGCTTTTCCTGGAGACAGGGCAGAGAATTTTGCTGGTGGGAAGAAGTGGCAGCTGGGTGAGGAATGCCGGCCTCTTCCCAGACACCACCTGCCGCTGGCTCTGCAGGAGACTAGCCACGACGTTTGGGTATGAGCAGCACTGGGAGGGCCTGGGGGAGCTGCGCCTCCACTCCTCGCTTAGGTCCCCAGATCTTTAAAGGACTGCCAGATTTTCTCCCAGTCTGGATGAATGGGATGAGGACCAGTTGGGCAAAAATCTGGAGGGGGAGGATATTTCATCCCACCGTGGGCCGGTCTGTTTTCTGTCAGGGAGGCTGGAGGTTCCCGGAGGAGAGATGAGCTGTAGGCACCAGTAGTCACCTGGGCTTCACTCCAAAGGTGGGGGGGTCAGCCCGTGTGTGCCAGCAAACCTGCAGGAACACTCAGGGCGGGCCCCAGCTGGTGAGATCCGCAGGGCGGTGGGGGCCTGTGGGGTGCAGGAGGGCGGCGAGGAGCCTGTCCTCGGTGAGCTCCTGGGTCGTTTCCCAGTAGCCTGGGAATTTGCATACCCACTGGTTTTCCCTTCAGCATCAGCTTCTTGGCTGCTGGAACCAGGAAAACCAGAGGAGGAAAGAACAAGTGGGGCAGCCACCGAGTGTGATCCCTTCTAGCACGCCCCAGTGGCTTGGGCTTCCGCCTCGGGAATCACATTCAGTCCCTGTCACCATGTGTGCTGCTGAGGCCCTGGAGGGGAAGTGGGTTGCCCAGGGCCACATGGTGAGGGAGTGGGGCCTGAAGCCAGGCCTCCTCCCGCTCCTGCTTCTGCCACACGAGCTGAGACATCCTCTTGTCAGTGTCGAAAGAGGCGAGGACTGTTCGCAGGAAGGGAGGCTGAGGCCCTGGGAGTCAGTGCCACCTACCACAGCTGCTTGAGTGGGCAGTGGGGCAGGAGGGGGCGGGGAGAACTGTGGAGTTAAACCCAAGTTGTGGGAAAGAGGCAGGCTGGGCACCGGGTCTGGTAGCCTCTGAGGAGCTCTGCCTGGCAGATTGAGAAAGAGGCCGGGAGGGGAGGCTCCAAACCCCAGACAACCAGCCCAGCCAGGCAGACCCTGTCGGGAAAGCACAGGATGTAGGCTCCGGACGCCAGGGTACTGAGCTGACCCAGTCCTCCCAGAGCCCGGCCCCAGCGGCACTAGCTACACAGGCTCTGCCGTCCTTGTGGGTGCCTATCAATGGATCACTAGCACCAGACACGGCCTCCAGACACTAGCCATAGCCAGCCGGGCCCGCTGCCACTGCCCATCCACCTGTGGGCCCAGACTCACCATTCCCAAGCAAAAGCAGCAAGCCAAGAGTTCAGCTGTGGTTGAGAAGCAAGTATGCATTCCCAAGCCTATGGCCAGCTGGTGGGTGGGATGGAAGAGAGGTGAGCACGCCTCCGCCTCCACCGTGGTGTGTAGAGACAGAGAGGGCCGGGGGGGTGGGGCCATGGGGCACCTGTTGCTGACAGGTGGGTGGATGGTTATGTCTGCTGCCCCACTGGAGCATGGATGTTGTAAACCCAAGAGAGTTGTGGAGTGTGGCTAAGGGCACTCCCACTTCCCCATCCCTCAGGGGCCTCAGTTACTGCACACTTGTGTCCCGGCCTTCCCTCCTTCAGGTTTGGGGGACCAGGACCAGGATGCAGGTCCTGCTGCAGTCTGTCCTAACTCTGTGGGACCTTGGGCCGGTCACTCAAAACTGCCAAGTGGATGGTAATGAACCAGACAGTCTAGTATTTTAGCTTCCTGCCCCATAAAACTAGAGGTCCATAAATAGCCTTTTAATCTGGAATAGAGTTCTTGATTGGCAAAAGTATTGTATAAAGAAGGCCACATTTCTTTGTGGAGATAAAGCTTCCTGAGGATGAAAGCAACAGGCATGGATCACCCTGAAGAATACTTTGTGGGAGGCTTGGAGTTAAAGTTTGCCAAAAGCATTTCCATATTGTGCATTGACTCCTGCCTTAAGTGCAGGCTTCTAAAGAAGATTCTGGGTCAGGAATGAGCTGGGGCCTTGTGGGCAGGGGAACCCCAGTGTGGCATTCTCTTCCGCATGCTGCACAGCTGTTGTGGGCTAAAACCATTTCTTAAAAAATACAGATATTACACAAGTTTCATAAACAATAAGCACAAAATCAGGTGAGATGTTCAAAGAGATAATATTACGATTTTTTAGTTGGAGTCTCACTCTGTTGCCCAGGCTGGAGTGCAGTAACTCGACCTGTTGGACTCAGGAGATCCTTCTGTCTCAGTCTTCCAAGTAGCTGGAACAATAGGCACTCACTACCACACCTGGCTTATTTTTTGATTTATTGTAGAGATGATGTCTCACCAAGTTGCCCAGGCTGGTCTTGAACCCCCGGCTCAGGCAATCCTTTCACTTTGGCCTCCCAAAGTGCTGGGATTACAGGCTGAGCCACCACGCCCAGCTCAAAGAGATCATTACTACATCTGTATTTTTTTCATTTTTCTCAGTGGTTTTTGTTTGGGGGGGCGGTCATCTGATAGCCTAGCTTTTCACTTTAAATATTTAACATTCAACATTCACATCCTGTTTTTTGCAACTGCAAATAATAAAGCTGTGGATTTCTGCCTTGCCTCTGCCCTTCTAGGGTCAGATGAGAGAAGTCTGAGATGGCAGATGGAGGTAAAAACGCTGGGTCGGGCACAGTGGCTCTTGTAAAGCCAGTTACTCAGGAGGCCGAGGCAGAAGAGCATTTGAGCCTAGGAGTTCAAGGCTGCGATGAGCTATGATTGTACAACTGTACACCAGCCTATAAGACCCTGTCTCTAAAATACATAAATTGGCCAGGCCACAATGGCTCACGCCTATAATCCCAGCACTTTGGGAGGCTGAGGTGAGAGGATTACCTGAGCCCACTGGTTTGATGTCAGCCTGGGCAACTTGGTAAGACCTCATCTCTACAATAAATAAAAAAATTAGCCGGAAGTGGTGGTGCATGCTTGTAGTCCCAGCTACTTGGAAGGTTGAGGCGGAAGGATCGCCTGAGCTTGGTAAGTCGAGGCTGCAGTGGCCGTGAATGTGCCACTGCACTCCAGCCTAGGCAGCAAAGTGAGACTCTGACTCAAATACAATACATAAATTAATAAATAGGTTAGGTGCAGTGGTTCATGCTTGTAATCCTAGCACTTTGGGAGGTCAAGGTAGGAGAACTGCTTGAGCCCAGGAGTTCAAGACCAGCCTGGGCAACATAGTGGGATCTTGTTGCTACAAAAAATAATTAGCTAGGTGTGCGCATACCTGTAGTCCCAGCTTCTCAAGAGGCTGAAGTGAGCTGTGATCAAGTCACTGCACCCCAGCCTAGGTGGCAGAGTCAGACCCCAACTCAAAAAAATAAAAATAAAAAATCCAAACACCAACCCCCTAAACACAACCCACAGAGGATAACACCAGAGCTTCTCAGTGAGCACTCACTGTGCATCAGGCATTGGTCACACACCTCACATGTATTATCTCATGTAATCTTTACAATCACCCTGGAAGGTGGGTACCATTATTACCCCTAGAGACAGGCAGTCATTTGCCCCAGAGACCCAGAGGGGCAGTCATTTGCCCCAAATGATAATCAGTCAGAGCTAGCTCCTGAGTCTGGGACCAGGGGCACTGCCTCTGGCATGGTTTCTCTAGGTTGCTTCTGTCCTGTGCCCTTACTCCTCTGCACTCTGCATGCTGGGTCTAGAACATAGCAGTATCTGGGGGAACAAGACCAGAGCTGAGCACCCAAGGACTTCCCCCATGCTCCCTCCAGCCTTCCTCTCCTGGAAGTCACCTTCTCAGCCAGGTCACAGCACCGAAAAGGAACAGCCCAATCCTGTCCCCGGTGCTACCCCTTCCTTCTGCTGCACCACAGGACTACAAGCCCTTTTACACTTCTGCTTCCTACCCCACTCTCCACCCACCCCCAGCCCCTGCCCATGTGTCCATGGCCACCTTCTATCAAGGCCCAGAACAAGGCCTCAAGAAAGATGCCCCAGCCTCAAAGGGATGGAGCACTTTTGGTGATACTTGGAAACCTTCCATCCAGAGAAGGATCAGAGAACTGGTGTGAAGCGGCTCCCCGCCTTGCTCCTTCCCGGGTGCAGACAAGTCAGGGGTGCCCACTTCCTGACCTTCCATCACCCCAAGGCCAGCTCAACCCCCAACTGCAATAAGGACCATCACCTCTTAAAAGGGTTCACATTGGTTGTACTTTATTGATGTGTTATGGGAAGTAAGGACTTTCTACTTGAACTATTTAAAATTTACAACTGTCCATAAACCTGCCCCCACCCTTGGGGAAGGGCGAGATGATGCCGAATACAGACAAAGAGGAAGAAAGGTTGGAGGCAGAGGGCCCTGGATTCCCCAGGGGAAATGGGGGAGGCAAACAGAATGGGACGGGAGATGGGTTATTAAGAAGCATCTTGCTTACTAACATGAAGCCTCGTGCCCAGCAAGAGAGCACAGATGGGGCCTCATTGGCGTAGAGGAGGGCCCTCAGAGGGCAGGCACATGGTGCCCAACTAGCCAGCCAAGGCTGGCGTCCCAGGGGTGGGGTGGAGGATGGGGGCTGTGCACAGGGCCCCCAGCCCGGGCCTCTGCTTCCCCCACCTCCCTCCCCGCCCTGAGAGAAAAGAGGGTTTGGGCCTCAGCCACGGACCGACGTCGCTGTTACCGGCAGCGTCTCCTTAAACTACAGAGATACAATGTGTATCAACAGGGTGATCACTTCTGACCCACGAGGGCAGATGGCTAGAGGTGCAGTGTGGGCCAGAACCAATCCTACAGTATCTTTGGTTTGGGTTCCCTTCCCTGCTCGAATCCTCCCTTTGTCCAGCCTCCAGGGTGGCCTTGGGGTGGGAACAGGCTTCTTGATGGCCCAAGGCCCAGCCTGATAGCCTTTGGAGGCTGGGGGTGCTGCCCTTGACGGCAGGAGCAGCTTACTCACTGGGGTGCTGGGACTTGTAGGAGAGGATCTCGGCAGCCAGCTGCTGGGGGTCCAGGAGCTGTGGGAAGCGCCCCATCACGGCCTCCACCAGGTGTGGGGGGAACACGCCACACAGCTTGGTGTACACGCTGGCCTGCTCCTTGGCCAGGCTGCCTGCCCTGCCCCACAGGCCCCTGCCAGCCCCTGGGCTTGGCACCTGGGGCTCCTGCAGGACCGGGGTAGGTGGGGGCAGTGGGTATGGCTCAGACCAGTACTCTCGAGATGGAAAGGTGGGTGGTGGGGGTGGGTAGTCAGCGGGGACACTGAAGTGGCCAGCACCCATGGCCCGTCCAAAGGCAGAGAAGGTTGGAGTGGCTGGGAGCTCAGATCCATAGGGGCTGTAGCCCGTGTAGGGGCCCCGAGGTGGGCCTGTGTCAGCAGGGCCTCCTCCGCGTACCCCCCACAGCTCCGACATCTGGCTCTCCAGGGAGCCGATGCCCGAATCCAGGCAATCCTGAGAGACATACGGAAGTGAGTCCAGGGTCTGTGGGAGCCAATCTGTGGGTCCAAAGCTGCTGCCACTGCCCCCGCTAGGAGGAAGGCTCCTGCCTGATGGGGCAAGAGTCTGTGCTGGACCCTCCCGGCAGGGCCCTGGGGATGGCCGGGCCCCCAGCTTCTTCCCATCCGGGCTACACTGCTCACTCTCTGTTGGCAGAGAACTGGATGGAGACAAAGGTGAAGGCCGCTGGCCACTTTTGTCCTTGCCCGGGGCACGAGGGGGTGAGAGGAGGGCATTAGCACGGAGCTCATCTGCCACAGAGCGCTGGGGGCGGCTCGGCCGCTCTGGGTGGAAGAATCGGCACTTGATCCCGTAGGTGCATTTCCTCCCTGTAAGAGGAGTTGAGAGGACTCTCAGCAGGGGCGCATTGCACTGGGGTAGGAGGGGGAAAGGGTAGCACAGGAAAAAAAGGGCTGGGTGTCCCCAAGGGGAAGAACTCGGAGCATAGGCAGACAGGTGAGAGGAGGGGAAGGGGTGAGGGAGGCTGCGGAGGGTGGAGCTGGGTCCCCTACCATAGGGACAGGGCTGCTTCCTGTGCTCCGAAGTGAGTGGCTTCTTGAGCAGGAAGTTGTCCAGGCTGGGCCCATGCCGGCCCAAGGGGTCATCGGGGGGCATAAACCTGCAGAGGGTGAAAAGAACTCTCTCTGGAGGCAGGAGACATGAGGGGGGACTTCCAATTGCTAAGGAAGGGGCTGACGGCACACCTCGCTGGAATGAACAGAAGAGCAACCCCTAAAACGGTTGCCTATCAGCAGGACATCCCAAAACTGTTCTCTCAGTGGGATCGCCCCAAAGAAGAAGAGAATCCCCTGGTCCAGAGGCCCACCATCCATGGGCACTGTTAGGACTACTCCCTCTCTGAGGTCGCCGGGAGGCTGGCAAGCCGAGCATCAGAATCTAGGGCTGCATCCACTGCCCTGTGGCTTCTGCTCCGGTGAGGTGGTGCTGGGAACTGGAGAGGCTGCCCTGGAACTACTGACCATGTTCCCCCACAGATGCTCCTGCTCCAGCCCCCAAGCGAACAGCCCCCCCCACCTGGTCCCAGCCTGATCGCTTCTGCCACAAGCTGTCCCTCTCCCTCCCAGAGCTCCCCAGAGCCCAGATCCCAGTTCCCCATGGTCACAGGGCCCAACAAAGCTCAGCCCCAGCTTCCCAAGGGCATCACCGGGTTTCCTGTGGTCCCCAAGTCTACCAAGTCCCCCTGGTGGGAACATACTTGTCATTGACAAAGGAGTACATGAGCAGCCGCTCCTCGATGAAGCGCTTCCACTCCTGCCGCTCGCCTTGGAGGTCGCGGTACGTGTCGTTGGAAACCACAACCCCATCAGACTCGAAGGCCAGCTTCACGATGAACCTGTCGTCGTAGCATACCACCCGCTTGCCACCCACGCGCCGTGACGGTGTGAACACCAGGATCTTCTTCTTCTCTAGTTCCCGCAGGATGTGCTGGTCTGGGAGGTGACAGGGGCATAGGTCAGGGCCCAGTGGGACCCAGAGCCAGGCCTGCAGAGCTCCCTGGTGGCCAAGTTCACCAGGGCAGGAACCAGCTCTGCCAAGACCACTGCTGTAGCCTAGTCCCTCACCTGGCCTCCCGGTTTGCTGCCTGAAGACCCAAGAGCACCGGCGCACAGAGCCATGTGCCAAAGGTTCCTTTTCCCATGGGACATCAGGCCTGGTCAAGCCAGGCACGGGCTTGGCTTTGGTCGCTCACCCAGCCGGTCCTGCAGGGGTCTGTGAATGGGCCACAGCTTGAGCCAGCACGGGGGAAGTATAATATCTTGGCTCTGTCCCTTGCCATCACCAGGACAAGGTCACCAAAGCCCGTGTGAAAGGGACCTCTCTTCCTAGAGCCCATGGCCCCAGCCAGCCTGTCCCCAGATATCAAAACTTGCAGAGAAATGGACTCCATTTTTACCCTTGAAGGGTGGGGTCTCTTGCAAGAACAATGGTAACAACTAACATACACTAAGCATGTCCTATGTGCCAGGTGTCTTTCTAAACACTCATCATGCATTAACTCGTACGAGCCTCTCCACAACCCTGTGGGGAAGGTGCTTTCATCAACACTCCCATGCCACTTTACAGATGGGGCACACGTGGCTCAGGGCAGTGCTAACAGAGGTCCCTGTCCAGGTCACAGTGCCAGGAAGGGCACAGCCAGATTCCAACCCTGGCTGTCTCAGCCCAGAGGTCACAGGTTTAACCACTACGCTACACTGCCCCTCTGCCACTGGGGATGTTGAAAGAGTGACCCAGTCACCAGCAGGATGAGGGAGGTGCCCAGTATCTGAGGCAGAAGGCTGATACGGTGACCTCCAAAGACCACCATTCAGAGCAGGGTCACCGAGAACAGAAAAAACTGGGAAAAGAAACGCATGAATTCTAAGCAGTTATTGGTCACGCCCAAAGGGTCTCTCTTGGGAAGAACCAGGGCTGCTGGGGCCGTGAGACCACCCCGTGTCCAGAGGTCCCAGTCACCTGTGATGGGCACATCGGGCCGAGGCTGCTCCTTTCTCCAGGATGGTACAAATACTGTGATGTCCGTGTGGCCCCGCTCCAGAAACCAGTTCACTGCCAGCAGGATGCCCCGACAGGAGAAGACCTCCTTGTTCCCATGGCTGGGAGGGAGAGGGGACACAGGATCAGCCCACACTGGTGGCCAGTCTGCTGTCCCCTAGGCCTGAGCAAGAGGGAGATGGGTGGTGGTGCCCCAGCCCCGGCCGTGGCCGTGGCCTTGGTGGTAAGTAGCTGGGCTCAGTGCCCCTACCCCCTCTCCTCTGAAGCCCCAAGGCCTCCGTTCCCTGCGCTGATTCCCACAGCACCAGGATGGCCGGACCGGCTGGGACTTTCCCTGAGGTTCCATCTCCTGAAAGTGAGGAAACACCCAGGAATCTGGCAGCGCCCGCTCCTCGTGGTGGGGGAGGGTCAGGCCACTTGCAACACACCTGGGGGTGGGGGAAAGGCATCGGCAGACTTCTGGTTCCTGCCCCACCCGGGGAGCTGCTGGGACCACAGGGACACAGATGTACACATGCACACTGAGTCATCACCCCTCCCTCCCTGCTTGCAGTGCCGCGGGTGGGGGCGGGGGAAGCACCGGGAGAAACCAGATCGTTCCGGATTAAAGTTCAGTCGGGCCTCAGGGGCTGGGGTCTGAGGGGGCCAAAGGGAAGGGGCTGGCGAGTCCCACCTTCTGGGCGGACCCAGACCGGAAGTGACAGGCTCCTTAAGAACCCTTCAGATTTGAAAGTGAAAGGACGCTGCTTTTCTTCCCAAGACAGCCAGTTCCCCAAAACGCCTCGATCACCCCTGACCTCCCTTCACCATCAGGAAGACACCAGGGGCTCTGTTAGCAAGAACATCTGAGGGACTAGCCCTCACTCCACCCAAATGTGCTTGGATCCAGAGACAAGACTTGAGGAGCTCCTGGCTTGCTGCAGCTCAGTTTCACTATCTGAAAAATGGGCCCAGCAGCCTGCAGCTTCCTAAGAGGGGCCATGCCATTGAGACAGCCTTCCTGTTGGCTTGAGGACACAGACGGTCCAGCAAAGTGGAGGTTACGGCTGGACTTCCAAGGAGGGGAGGGAGCCTGGAGCTCCCAGGTAATACCAGGTGGCATGGAAGGGCTCCTGGGACCAGTAGCCCCTGCCTCTCGCTGCCCCTCAACGAATAGCTCAGACTCCCATCTGGCAAATAAAACAGAATAAATGTTGCGCAAAAGAGCCAAGTCCAGGGCCGACCACATCCTGTGGGTGCCTTTGAGAGGGAAGGGTTGGAGCCCCAAGAGAAGGTAGAGAGGGAGGTGGGGCATGTAGGCTGTTTGGGAGTGAGGCTGGGGCACCAGCAACTGAAGGTCTCTATCAAGTGTAGGGGAGACAAAGTTCAGCCCAGGGTAGCACTCATCCCCACCTGGCCCCCCACCTGTCAGTTGCTTATACTGAAGGTGAACATCTACCTATTCTAGTGGTTAGCTGAATCATCAGCAAGCATATGAAGAGGATACTGTCATTATCATCCCCTCCCCGCTTTTTTCAGATGCAAACTGTGGTACAGAGAGGGTAACTGAGTTGCCAGGGTCACTCAGCAGTAATGGTGGAACAGAGATGCAGACTCAGAGTGTATGCTCATAACCACTATGTGTGTTGATGTTCAGGCAGGTACAAAGACAGGTACCCTGGCCATGGGGACAGAGTAGGGATTAGTAGATGCTGAGCTTTGACTGATAACCAGATATACCTCTTCCTCCTTACAAGACTTGTTACAGTGAAAGAAGGCTGGCCCTGTGACTCGTCCAAGGTCACCTGGCTCGTGGTAAAGACTTGAACCCAAATCTGGGGGCACTAGATTGCCTTCCTGTCCCCAAAATGAGTTTGGATAAAGAATGGCAAGAGGCAGGCTGGGAGCGGGGAAAATGATGCATTTGGCAAATGCCTGCTCTTCCTTCAGGGCCCCTGTGAGATGTCACCAGTTCTGAGAAGCCTTATTTGGCTTGCCAGGATGGGTCAGGCCCCTGGTCTGTGTCTTCATCAAGTCCAGGGCCTCCTCCATCACACAACCCCCTTCCCTGGGCCTTCTGTTCTGTCTCCCCAAGACCGTGGGGGGATGGTCAGCTCTGGCTTGGCTCCCGTCTCAGGCACACTGCCTGCACAGGCCTTTACCTGCCTCCCTCTGGACGCATGCATGTATGTGCTTATGCCCCATCCTAGGGCTGCGTCTTCAAGCCTTGGACCTAATGGGACACTGGGGCTCCCAGGGCAGCACGCTGTCTCTGGGCACTGAGAATCTTGGCTGGGGACAAGACTGCTTGCTCTCAGCAGCTTGAGGGACCCAGAATAGTCCCTCAGCAGGCAGACAGGGCCCTGTTCTTGGTAGAAGTGGAACACAGGAGGCTGGAGTACACCCCTAGAGCTAACTTCAGTCCCTGTCACTGCAGTGCACTGGAGGCAGCTCTGCTGGCACAGGAAAACCAGACATCCTCCCACCCCCATTGAGTCTTCTTTGCCCGGAAGGTCAGGGCCCCCCAGCCTGGCTAACCAGACACTGATGGGATGTGCCAGTCCCAGACCAGCTTGCTGCTCCTCCCCCAGAACAGAGGGCAGGGCTGGGTCAGACTCCCCAGGTGAAAAGATCTGCCTGGGCTGGGCCTGGCTAGTGGAGAAAAATTCCCTTAGAAGGAAACAGAGGTGAATTTCCCCACGATTTGCATATGGTGGGGGCTAGCCCGCCTACCCTTGGGGGAGGGGGTGGCAGGGCAGGAACCGAGTAGCAGCTGAGACAGGAAGTTTGAGGCTGGAATTCCCCTCCTGCCACAGCCCCAGCTCAGAAACA